GCGATTCTACATTCAGACAGACACTCAGATGTATGGATATGCAGGCGCTGAAAGACACAACACAGCACAGACTCAGGCCCTCGTACACAAAGACAGACACGCAGATACACTAACAGTCACAGGAAGTCACACCCTGGTTACCACCGTGTCTGTTCTTCACCACGCTCCTCAAGCTTTGGTAAGGAGGGATACGGATAGGAAAGTGCCACAGCAGATACATCTGATGGCCCCACAGAGCCGGTTGGGAAATAGAGTTCCAGTCACCACTGGTTCCTGGGTAAGCTTGTGATAGTGAGGGCCACACTAACCACAGCTTCCTGGGCCCAGATGTTGAGAGGTCCAGGGTGGTGACAAGGGCCTATTAGAGCTGTTTCTCCCTGACACTAGGGAACCCCTGGACTCAGTGTTCAGGAAAACTGTGGCAGTCCTTAAATATTCCTAGGGGTTGAGGAGTAAAAGCATGTATCCATCCATCCATGCCTCCCTCCCTCAGTACAGATATGTACTGGGCGCCTGCCTTCTGCCAGTCCCTCTAAGAGAAGCTGGACATGCTGGAAGCTTGGCCTACTGGCTGGAGAGCAAGTGAGTTCCACCTTCTTTGGCACCCTAGGAGGTGAGCTCTGCACTCCTGTGCAGCCAAGCCCATCTGGCATTCTCTCTCCTCCCTCTCTGTTCTAGACCCTCAGTCTAGCTGCTGTATCAAGGAAGGCAGGAGTTACCCAGGCCAGTTCACCGGCCACCCCTCTGCAGCCTCCTTTCCTGGGGCTTCATCATCTTCCTGGCCCCTAAACAGTGGAGCCCTTTCATTAGAGCAGAGATTTGGTCCGTTTTGTTCATGTTTCAATCTTCAGCACCTAGAACCGTGCTTGGCACATAGTATAGGCCCTATAAATATGTGTTGAATGAATAAGTACATGCATGTGAATTACCAGGGAAACACACACACACACACACACACACACACACACACACACACTGGGGGTGCCAAAAAAATGTATACAAGTGAACACTTGGGTCAGTGTTGCTCAAGCAGTAGTTCGCCATAATCAGAAGTGTCTGGACACTGGTGGTAACCACTTTGAGCACCTCTTGTAATTGTAGAAGTCAAACGTGACTTGTATTCCTCTTTTGTTATCGGTATATATTGAATATTACAATTTTAATAGCTTTTCCCTTTCTTAAAATGTGTATACATTTTTTTGGCTATATATATGTGTGTGTGTGTGTGTGTGTGTGTGTGTGTGTGTGTGTGTGTATATACACACACACACACACACTCAGAGGGTTCCTCGGGAGATAGGCTCTGCCTGGCAAGGCCTGTGGTTTCACACTTACACACGCTCAGGCCTCCGTCCATTCCAGAAGTGTGTGGCCCTGTGCCAGGCTCTGGGCGGGGTACTGGGGAGTCAGAGTTGGTTCAGAATACATCCTGCTCTTATGGAGAGCAGAGTCTGGTGGACTGTGCTCCCTGACCTTGGTCACAGCAGGAGCTGCAGCCCACTTTCTGGAGCCCCCCCCCCCTCCTGTCCCCCTGCCCCTCCGAGTCTGAGGCGGACTGAGTGTGAAGAGTCAGAGCCAGAGATGCTTGGTCTGGGCCCACAGGGCTCTGGTGTGTCTTTGCTGAGTCCCTTTCTGCCTCCCTGGACCCGCCCATCCCTGAGTCTTGGTCCCTCCTCACAGTCCTCTGGAAACCCAGCAGTCTCCTGTCCCACTGCCTCACTGCCCGATCACCTGTTCACCCCGGTCCTGTCAGCTCTGCCTCCCAGACAGCGTCTCACCCTAATCCCACAGCGACAACCGACAACCGATCCAGCCACCATTGCCTCCCACTGGGACGACTGCGGCAGCCCCAGTCAGCCTCCCTGCCTGCAGTTATTATCCTTTTATGATCCCCCGCCTCCCTTACAGCAGCCAGAATTGACCTTCCAAATCACTGCCCCTGCTCATGGTTCGCATCACACTTAGCATGAGGTCCGCTTTCTTCCCAACAGGATCAGGCTCCTGAGCTGTCTCTCCAGCCTCATGCTGGAGGGTGCCCTCCAGGCGCGCGCTGGGCTCTGGTCCGCAAATGTACAGCCTGCGCCTGCCTTCATAAGGCCTTCGCTTTTGCCGTTCCCGCCTCAGGGACCTGCCTCCCCAAATTCCTCTTAGCTAACTCCCTTTCTTCATTTGGAGACGCTGTCCTGACGACCTATCTGGGGAACACCCCTCCCTGCCCTCTGCCTGCCCCCTCCCTCTCCACTCTTCACCCCTTCACAGCACTCTGAAACTGTTCAGGGAGGTCTGTGCACTTGCTTATTGCTTCTTTCCTCCGCTGGAATGTAACCTTCACAAAGGCCCCAACTTTCTTTGGATCCCCCATACCAGCAACAGTACCCTGCACATAGTGAGTGCTTAGTGAGTCTCATGAGTGGGTCTCATGAATGAATGCTTCGAGAGTCTAAGTCTCAGCTTTGGGGCCACCTTCTAGAGAAGGTGGGGGGGCCACCTTCTGGAATGACCTCCTCCAGTCTGGGTTAGGGGCCCCGCTCCCTTGTAACCCACACTTCCTTCTATCCCTGTCTGTGTCATGGCATGCGCCTTATATTCAGGGGCCTCTCTTCAAGAGCCTCTCTCCAGACAGGGAGCCCTTAGGGACAGGGTCTGCTCTCCTGCCTCTCAGCCTCCCATGTGGTGGCAGCACCGTGCAGATAGGTTTAACAGACTTGAACTGGGAGCTGATATAGGCTCTACCCACTGCCATGCAGCTCTGGCCAACGCTCTGGGCCCCAGCTCCGCCCACCTCCAGGAAAGCCCCGCCCGCCTCAGGAAAGCCCCGCCCACCTTCCTGGGCAGAAGCCCCGCCCACCCAACTGGGGCAGAGGGTCCTTCCAGAAGAGTGATCCCTGTGTTCAAGCATCTCTAGCCAATCAGGTTAAAGCTTATTAGAAAATGATAGTAACGCACATATTCCAGCTTTAAAAAATTACTTTTTTTGTCTAGCCCAAGATTAGCATATTATAGATCAGGGGTCAGCAAACTATGCCAAATGTGGCCTGCTGCCTGTTTTTGTAAATAAGTGTCTTTGGAGCACAGCCACACTCATTTGCTTCCATATTGTCTACACTGCTTTTGTGCTACAAGGTCAGAACTGGGTAGTTGAGACAGAGATTGTATGGCCTGCAAGGCCTAAAATATTTACTATCCATCCCTTTACAGAAAAGTTTGCTGAGCCCCCTATTATAGACGTTCAAAAAAATTGTTGGATTAACTCAACTCAAATCAGACCCTCGGATCTTGCACTGCTAACATATGTTCAAGTCTTTTGTTCAGAGACACCAAAATGAGCCTAACTCTCTTCTCTCTTCAAGAATAAGGAAATGGAAGTATAGGTAGGAACAGCCACTGAAGAATCCTATATTCTTCCTTTATTTAACAAACAGCATTGACTGAGCATCGCCTATATCCCAGGAGCTCTTCTAAGCGCAGTAAAGAATGAGAGAGACACAAGCACGCATCTAGCTGATAAAATATTACAGGCTCACTGTGCTTGAACGGCGTGGCTCTGGGTGTGGGGCTCAGCTTTGCTTGCCCTCACGCCTCTACATGCAGGCCGCGTCTCTGCCATGCCCGTGTCCCTCGTGCTGCTGTTTCTCTGAGGGTCCTCCCCACTAGGCTGCTCACCCTGTGGTCTGCCTGGGGCCACAGACTGTGTCTCATTCGTTCACCTTGACCTCTGCAGCTCTGAGCACAGGCTCTAGCATACGGAAGGTGCTCAATCTGCCTTTACGCCACTGCCAAGCTCCTTTGAGAGCCCCAGACGTGGTAACAGGGACCCAAACAGCCTTTTAGGAATTCCATCTAAGAACAGCGTCTTGCTGGAATTCATAAAAGGAAATGATGAGCACTGTAAGATATTTTTTTCCCCTTTAAAAAGAAATCTATAAATTGCGTTGTGTTTCCTTCCTTTCTCTTCCCAGCTGCCTGGCTGACTTCGTGTTCCGGGGGCTTTTCATTGAAACCCAGATTCCAGGCTGACCTGAAACTGGGTTTGATGTGAGGGGGTATTACTGAAAGATGTGGGGGTGATCCATATGATAAATGCCTCCTACATTTTTCATAAAAGTGATCTGAGGATAATAATACTGACTATTCTGCTGGAGGGAGGGGCGGGGGCAGAAGGGGTGCTCCGGGAGGAGAGCCAGCCTGAGAGCCTGGGGATGAGCCTTCAGCCACTTCTGCACGGGGCGGCTTTGCTGTCCCAGGTGTCAAGGACCCTCGGCCCCTCTCTTGGAAATCCCTTCCTCAGGGAACATTTTATCTTGTTAGTTTTTGCCGATTCTTGGAAAATTTTCTTTGAGACTCAAATGCTTTCTCTTGACAATATGTCTCAGGTGGATTTAAGATTGCAGCTATTACATCAGGATTTAACTTTTTTTTTTCTAGTGAAGAATTCAAGGATTTAACTTTGACTTGACTTGTGGGAGAAGGAAAAAAATCTCATTTATTATTTCAGTAGAAGTTCTAATCTGGCACTGCCTGATGAGTTTCTTCATTCAGTTATTCAGGAAATATTTATTAGGTGCATATTATGTGCAGGGCATTGGGCTGAGATTATAATGGTAAACAAGCTAGGAACAGCCCCTGCCTTGGCAGCGTTGGTGGGACTGTGAGGGACGTGGTTGCATAAATAGACAAGGACCCCACAGCATGATAAAGGTGATGTGCTCTGGGGATCTGTTCAGGGGCATGGAGGACTTCCTGGAAGAGGCGATGTTTCAGCTGAGACATGGAGGATGAGTAGGAGTTTGCCAGACAAAGAAGGCAGGGAAAGGTGTTGCAAGCAGCGAGAACAGCATGTGTGAAGGTTGGGCCTCTGGACAGGAGGCAAGGAGGGAGGCTCAGGTTTTTCTTGCCCTCTGCTGAGTCAGGGACCCCTAGATAATCCTAGCCTTTGGCGCTCTGAAAGTTGGAGGGAAGGACCCAGCACCAGGAAGGAGATAAAAATTGCATGCACTCACGGAGGAAGTATTCTGCTGTGTCAGCTTCGTAATCTGCATCCTCTGGGAAGTGATCAATTTGCTTGCAGAGACCTTTGAAGTTCCCTAGAAAACAGGGGAGAAAGGACACATGAGGCGTCGTAGTTCCCAGGGGCTCAATGCTCACTGGCCTCTTCCTGACTTCTCACTTCTCTGCAGCTGGCGCAGCCCTCTCCCTTGCCCCTGAAGGAAGGTATTGCTTTGTCTGTTTGGACATCCCCTTGGTGAATCAACCTCCCACCCCCAATCCCCCGCGTGGTATTGTGGAGAGGATCTAAGGCCTAAGACTTCAAAACCCAGCCTTCTGTCCCCACACCAAGGCTTCTGAGGATTAGCAGAAGCTTGGCGGGCAGCGGAGGCTTGATTGGGGGCTGGGGTCTGCCTCCAAGGAGGCTGATGAGCCGTGTGGCTGCATCTGCCTCTGTGCCCAGCTTGGCTGGGAGTCCCCTCCTATTTTACATGAGAGAGAGCAGATGGCTTTCCAAAGAAGGCAGACCCTGGACCGATGCTGACAAACATCCCCACAGCACTTTAGTTGAGCTTGCAAAGCACCTTGCCATCTGCAGCGGCAAGGAATTCACCGCACCCAGCCCCCAACTGCTCTGGGGGATGAGCCCCCACTGGGGGCTGGGCCCCCTGCCAGGCTTTTGAAGTATGACTTATTTTGCCTCTACCACAGGCCTGTAAGGGGATATTATCATCCCCATTTTACAGATGAAGACACTGAGGCTCAGGGAGGCTAAGTGACTAAGTACTCGTGCCTAGGAAATGATGGACTCGGGGCCTAAAGATCTCTTGACCCTAAATACTTGGCTTAGTGAGAAGGTGAGAGATGGCTCAGGTGGAAACCTCAGCCCAGTGCCACCGCCAACGGTCACTAAGTGAGTGAGTGAACTATGCAATGCGATCTTCGTAAAGACAGATGTGTAGAAGAATTTACAGCCATGTCCGCCTCATCACAGCAGGGACTTTTGTCTGTTTCAGTCGCCATCGTGTCCCCAGCGCTAACACTGGTAAAAAAATGTTGGCTCACTGTCCCTGAGTGAATAAATAATTGGACCTGTGCTTGGAGATACGGCGCAGGGGGTGAGAGGCAGGTTTGAGAGTTGGACCACCTGCGTCCAGCTCAGCCTCGCTGAGATGCCTCAGTTTCCTTATCTGAAAGTGGCCCTCACAGGAATTCTGCCTTTGCCGAATGGCACGGGGGTTCAATGAGCTGACACATAGAAAGTGCTCAGAACAATGCCTGGCACATTCATGAATGTGCTTGGGGGCATTGCTGTGAGAGAGAAATGGACTTGGACTATTCTGCCACTGGCATTTGGGATTTCTCTGTGACAGCAGCTAATCTAACCTAATTAATACAGCCCTCAATACATGTTAGCAATTTATTTTTCTGTAGCATAGTGAGCCTCCCTGTCCCATAAAGTAGGTTTCATTATGTACTCTAGATATTATTAAGGAATTTTAAGACATTATTACATAGATACATTACATACACCTACATAAGTAAGATACAAGTACACTTACGTAAAGATAAGTATTTTAGGTATTCCTAGCTATTATTATATGCTACATGTTACAGAGAAGACGGTTGACTCCCCCTGCCTCACTGTCTCTGTACCAAATTCACCTCCTTTCCTGATTTTGGCAAGATGGTTCCCCAGAGCATATTGGGACTTCTGTTAACCGCCCCCTGGCCGGAAGCTCTGTAGGGTTCCAAGAGCACAGAGTTTCACCAAAAATGTTCCCACGGGGCAGCCTCTGTTCTGCGTGTTCCAGGCAACCCCTCTTGCTCACCACCACCCGCCTTGCTGCCTCCCGGCTTCTCTGTCACCCCAAGCACATCTCCCCTCTGCCCTCGTGCATCCTGGTCCAGTCTCAGGAGGCCTCAGCCCCCACTAGTAGCTCATCCCCTTTCCAACCACACACCCTGCTCTCCTGAGAAGTGTCTTCATACGGGCTGCCGAGAGGCTAGAATAGCCTCCCTATTGTTAAAACTACAAATCAGTGTGTTTGACAAGCACTTCGCAGAGCACTTTCATTTTCTCTCAATTCAATCTGACAAATATTCCGTCAGCGCCAGCTTGGTGCCAGGCATCTTTATAAGGAATCCTGCAGGGAGCGAGGCGCGGAGAGTGGTCCTCATGCGCCCCAGGGCTCCTCACAAATCGGGGACAGTGGTCAACCCCAAACCGAGGGCTCGCAGGTGGTGTCTCCACACTGTTCTTCTTGCGGCCGCACGCCCTTGCAGCCTGGCTGCCCCTCTGCACAAGCCTTTGTCTTAGCCATCCTTGGATGGACCGTCGGTTCCTAGTACAGTGCCTGGTGCAGAAGGGCAAGGAGACGCTTGTTGAGAGGCCGTGTGAAGTAGTCAGCTGCCCAGACTCTCCTGTGAGGTCCAGACTTGGGTATTCAACTGCCTATTTGATGTCCCCTGGTGGATGTGTTAAAGGCACCGTACGTTCAGTAGGTCCAAACCGGAACTCATGATCTTTCCCTCAAGCCTGGTCTTTTGGAGGCACCAACTAGCTCAGCGAATGCCTCTCCACTGCTCTGCGGTGCGAGTCTGAGCCCAGCCGTCATCTCCGACATCTCCTCCTCACTGTAGGTTCCATCCATCATGACGTCCTGCTGTATTAGCTGCTCAGTATCTCTCCAGCTCATCGATTTCTCCCCATCGACAGCATCACCACCGCCAGGCCACCATCCTTGTTTCCCTGGAGGACTGCAGGAGCCCCCTCACCAGTCGTTTTGAACCCTCTCTTATCCCTGTCTATAGAGTTATCACAGTGATCCTTTGCAAATGCAAACCTGATCAAGCCACCTCCAGCTTAAAACATTCAACAGCTTCCCAGTGCTGTTAGGGAAAAGCTCAGCACCTTTCACAGGGCCTGACCCTGGCCTCTGTCTGCATCACCCCCCACCCACCTCCCTCTCTGTGCATTTGCCATCTGGCCCTCCTTCCTGCATGCTTCTTCCTACCACAGGATCTTTGCACATGCTGGTCCAGCTGCCTGAGCTCCCACCACACCCTTCCCTCCACCTCCCTCTGCCTCCCTGCACTGTGCTGGTGGGTGTCTATTACTGTGCTGGCTATTCTGTGTTGGGGGAGATGTTAAAGCATGAGTGATGCTGGTGGGAACGTTCTGGTAGAGAGGGAAGAATTGATGACCCAGAGAGAGGAGGGAGCAATGTAGGAGCAATGTGAGAGGGGATGAGGTCCAAGTACGAGGGTGGCCTTAGATGGGGTGGATGGGGCGTCCACTGCACCAGGAGGGAAGGAGACACCTATGGGTACAGGTGCAGGGGCTGAGTAAGGGAGCTTGTGATACTTGTCTTCTGGTTGCTTCTGTTTTTTTGATGAAATGGGTGGCAGGATCATCAACTGGGAATGAGGAAGGGGAGGCAGGGTTGGAGATTTGAGGAAGGAGTAAGGGAGTCAGATTTTTCTCCATGAGAGTGGGAGAGAGAATGGACCAGGCTCAAGACATGAAGTGTGTGTGTTGATAGCTTCAAGGTCCCTCTTGAAATGTGGTGGTTTTCTCTGGCCACATTTAGGGTGTCGCTGCAGTTTATCTAGCTGGAAGGTTGCTTTTAGCCAGGATGGGGGTCTGTGAGATGAGTGCAGGGAGGGAGCGAGAGAGGGCGTGATAATGAAGATGGACCAGACTCCCAGCTGGGTAAAGAGGGCAGTGGAAAGGTGGTAGTGAATGCAATGGAAGCCCTGGGTGGGAGGCAGAGAATTGTTGGAGCCGGCCTCACAGGAATGAGCTGGAAGGGTGAGGCATGGGAGTCAGAGTGGATGCAAAAGATTGAGATTGTGGAATGCGGTTATTTGGTAATGTCAGGGTCAAGGGTAAGCCCATGAGCTGGGGGCTCAGGTTGCAAGGAGATAGGGATGACAGTCAAAGTATTTAGCAACTGGAAAGTTCATGCCAATTATATATAAGACAAAGCTAAACGTTCACTCTTATTTTCTCTATATATCAAGTATATATTATGAAACTGCTGACTAAGTTAAAAGTTGAAGTGAAAATGATTCATCAAATTATTCTACTAAGCCCCAAATTATTGGTTGGTTTTTAGAAGTTATTGGTGCACTCCCCCGATGAAGAGGATCTTACAAGCTAAGTGATGGGCCATTCTGGACCACGATTTGACACCGAGAACCACAGCAGATGCTGCTGGCCCTTCTCTGCTAGAGGAAGAGTCGGTCCATCTCAGTGAGTCCAGAATTTTCTCCTAACCTGCCTGACACTGATCAGTGCGAGGACTTCTCTGCGAAAATAGCCCTCCGTCCTCAGCAATCCAGGAGGTGGGGATTGATGGTGCTGGGAGTGGTGGAGTGGGGTGGTGGCGGTGAGGGGAAGAGGGGAAACCTCTTCCGGAGCTAGTGCTCTCACGGTCGGAGGGGTGAGCACAGCCTGGCCTGGCTGGCTACCCAGGACTGTAGGAAGGTTCTGTCCTGGACCCTTGCATATCTCCTGCGGAGCCAGACTGTCTGGGCTGGGCCTCGGGGAGCTGTAGGGCCTGAGGCACACAGCTCACCCCCCCACCCCATCCTTGGGGAGGAGGGACAGGAGTCGGAGCTGCAGTCCCAGCCCCTCCCTTCTCTGCCTGTCCCAACCCAGGAGCCACCCCTGCCCAGCCCTCATCGTCCCATTTTCTGGGGCTGATTGGTGTGACAGGATTTCAGTATTCAACAACCAGCCAGTAGGACTAGTATCTTCTGGCTGAGGCAGGGGCGAGGCCAGGTGCTGGGAGGATTGTCTCTCTGACTGACTGTGAAATCTCCAAGAGGACCCGCCTACAGGAATAGCCTTGGAGAATGGGGCAGGGCAGTGCGAACTCATTATGAACTCATTATGAACTCATTATGAGAGTGAGCTCGGAGGCTTAAGGAGTCTGGTAGGGAAGGCTGGGATGACTTTCAGAGAGGGAGGGAGTTCAGGGAAGAGGCTGAGGAATGGTGGGGAAACAGCAGTGAGAAGCAGGGAGTGCCTACCCCCTCCAGGCCCAGGGGTGTGGCAATGAAATACTCTTGTGAGGGATTGCAGGGGAGA